ACAATAAGATGAATGCATACATATTTCTGTGTGGGTAGGGCTGATTTTTATTAGTCGGCATGAAATATCCTTGGAGATTATCCAGGCTCCTGATTTTTCTTCTTTCTCTTATTGTTTTTCCTTGTTCAGTATCTTGGCTTAGCAGTATCTTTCCAAAAGAGTAAGTAGGTGGGATAAAGGCAGTAAAATAAGATGTACAGGCCAGGAAGGTGATGGAAAGTCTTGAACTGGCTGAATATCTACACTTGTCTTCTTTAAACCAGTCCCTTCCACCAGGACAAAGGTTCTCAGACTTGGTCTCACATTATAATCATCTGGGAGCTTTTAAAAGTCCTGATTTCCAGATGCTGCTGGTGCAGCCCATTAAACCAGAATCTCGGGGGGCCAAACCCCGGGCCTCAGACCTTGTGAGAAAGACTCCACTGAGCTTCCTGCCAGACTCCTTTGAGCCTCAGTTTCTTCATTAGTGAAATCGGCAAAATAATTTGAGGTAAAACATAGATTGGGTAAAATGAGAGCGTCCTAGAGTAGCAGGAGAATAACATGGGATAAGGTAGGGCAATATTTGGAATATAAAAATATAGTGATAGCAATATATGTTTGAAATATTACAATAATAATCATTTGATCCTAATTATAAATAAGAAATTTTTTTGGAAATGTCAATTCAGTTTATGAACTTCTCACCAACCTACATTTTCTATCAATAAAGCATCATTTTGGGGGAAAGTGACGCCACCCTCTCTTGGGCTTTGGAATGATCAAAATAGATCATCGCCTATTCCATTCTTTTTCTTTTTCTTTTCTTTTCTTAGACAGCGTCCTGTTGCCCAGGCTGGAGTGCAGTGGTGTGATCATAGCTCACTGTAACCTCGAACTCCTGGGCTCAAGAGATCCTCCCCTCTCAATCTCCCAAGTCACTACAGATGCATACCACTATGCCTGGCTAATTTTTTTTTTATCATTACTTTTTGTAGAAGCAGGGTCTTGCTATGTCGTCCAGGCTAGTTTCAAACTCCTGGCCTCAAGTGATCCTTCCACCTTGGCCTCCCAAAGTGCCATTCTTATGATATGTGTGCCTAAGTCATATTTCTCCACTAGATGGGTAATAAGGTAAATAAACTTAGCTGGGACAGTTCTACAACTACATTAAAGGAAGTAGCTGTGATACTGGAGAAGGCACCAGAGCTGGTGACACACGCATTATCTACATGGATCATGGCACACAAACAGGGTCATTTTTTTTGGATGAGAGTCTTTCGTCCTTAATCAAGCTTCTCTTACACCAACATTGATGGTAATGTACGTACGTTTTGTCAGCATGTAGCAATGGATGATAGAGTTGTTGTCTTGCTCAGACTCAAATTCACCAAATATGTATTAAGTACTTATAAGGTGCTAGGGTTTAGGACTGTCCTCTCAGGCCCTTGATCCCTCTCTCCAGCCTCATAACAAGCGGAGAGGGCAATCTTATTTTCTCCATTTCACAGATAGGAAAACAGGTTCAAAGGAGAGAAATGACTTGCCCAAGGTCATGCAGGTGGGTGAGCAGTTGCTTCTTCCAGGAATCTACATCCTTCTCCTAGACATGTGGCTGCATATGGACAATGCTTTTGTTCATCTGGCTCATTGGATTCTTCCAGCAACAGGACAGAAGACAAGGATACCAAGGAGCACAGTGGGGTTCGTACCCGGAGTGTATGAAAAATAAATGTGTGCCTAGCGGAAGCTCCTGGAGTGAGGTTAAAACAAGTGACTTCTGCTGACTAGATTCTTTCTTTTTTATTCTATTGCCCGTATGCTCTTCTCTCTGTTTCTTAAGAGACTGCCCTTTCAATTCCAAGTGTGCCAGGTGAAAAGGTCATTGTATAAGCAATAGAGAAAATTAGAACTAATGAGAGCACAGGAAGAGCTTTCTGACAACTTCCTTAGGGTTCACATAATTATTATTACTTTTCTCCCCCTTAGGTAGCGTCCTATGTGGTGATCAGATATAATTTGATTGCCAAATGCAAAATGTCTCGTTAAATGGATATCCTTTTAAGTTCCTAGTTTATTTATTTCAATTGCTTGTTTGTTCCTTTGTTGTACTCAGAGACCTTGACAAATACTGAATGTTGGTTGTGAAATCTTACTTTTTTCACATATTAGTTTGAAACAAAGAAAATAATCAGTTTTCTGATTTAGTTACTATATAAAAATTACTTCAAAAATTAAGCAATTACTTGATCCATCCAGTTTTAAAAAGTTTTTGCCGGAACCAATCTATTTTTTTTTTCCTTTAGAACGTAAAGTCTTTTTGAATTATATAAAGGGTATTTTTTCTTTTTTAGTTTTGAATCTCCTACGTGATTACTTAAATGCTATCCCTGCTTTTAGGAAATGTTTTTAAGAAATCTGAGAGGGAACACTGAAGTGACAGCAGAAGTCGACGTTCCGGAGGGAGCCATGGAACCTGATTGTCAGCAAAGTGGGACCATGTGTAAAAATGTGTACAAAGCAGGTTGAGAAGGCAGAAAGTTAGGGCTGAGACACGTATGTGCTGCCCTAGGAAAATAAGCAACATGGTTTTTCACAGGTAACAGCAGAAGGCTTCTTCATTTTGTTTCTTTACCCCAGCTGAGTCAGGATATTCTTAATATAGGGCCATTTGGCTTGGAATCAGGGGAAGGGTTTATGCTGTTTCCAACAGCACTGCAGACCCTGTCTGTGTATAGACACGTTTGCTCACATTCGCAAAGTTATCGTCTAGCAGACACCTCATACCCTGCCGGAGCTGACTCCTTCCCCATCTTCTCCAGGATTGAGCTGTGGCATTTCCTTCTCTGAGAAGCCTTCCATGATAGCTTCCCCATGGAGGTGGGCTGGGGCAGCCCTTCTCACCACCCTGTGACTGTCTGGTTGTATCAGACATTGTTCCTGGAGGGACAGGGCTGGCAGGCAGTGGTCCTCTGATAAAACTGTATTTACAAATCTACAATGGTTACTTGTCATCTATGAATCTCTTTCCTCTATGGCTCCTTAGGAGCCTTTCGAGGGCCACATTTCCAATTCAGATTTTCCAGTTTCTTCTGTGTGGTCACCCTGTCTCATTCTTGCCAGGACTATCATGCAATTTGACAATTTGTGGACTGTTGGCTGGCTTTTCATCAGCTCATGTAGATCAGTCACCAAGACAACTGCTGCCACCAAGACAGCCTGCAGCTGGCCTGTGCCTCTTCCACCCTGCACACCTGAGGGAAAGCCACCATGACCCAGGTAGGTTAGTTTGGAAAGGCTGCTAACTTGTATTAACAATCATTAGAATGATGACAATGTAATACTGCACATTTTTAAATATTACGTGCTTTCATGCAGAACAAAGGGAGGGTAGATGTAGTGTGGTGCATAGGACTTTCAAGCATCTGGGCTTGGAGTGAGGATACGTAGCTGCAAATTCTGGCTCAAGTGTAAACTTGGCTACTTTGGACAAATCACTGCCCATAGCCTCAAGTCTCCTTATCTGTAAAATGGGTACGAAAATATCCACCCCGCCTATCTTGCAGCCTTATTATTAGGCTCAAATAAGATGTTTCCTAATCTTTCCCGCCTCATAGAAAAGCATAATTTTTGCTTAGCACCATGGAGAAAATGTAAAGTCACTGAGGCTGGGAGGGACCACTCCTGGATGGTGGCTGCCCTGCCCCACTATCCCAGGGGCCAAGGGGATTAACACCTTGGCACATCTGTATACGAGTTGTGAAACTCTGCCACATTAAAAGACTTAAACCTTAGCTGCACATCTCTACATGCTCATCCTCACATCTATTCTCCTGTCATATATATGTGACCTCCCACGGCAGCATGAAGATCACGCTCAGACACGTAAAGTGCTGGAACCTAGATCCATGGCCATCAAGTGGCAGAACATGACCAAGATCCCAAGCTTTTGTCGCCTCATGTGTCGACTGTGCTTTCAATCACTCCTTGTCCTTAATAATTAATTATTTTGGAAAAGAACTACTTGACTACTCAACAAGGTGATAATTCAGAGAAAGGGAACACTTTGTTGTCTGCAACGTACAGCCCGATCATTCAGCGTAGTAGGAAGGCTGGCAACATTTATGTCAATGAGCTGACAATTTAATAATTGTCCATTTCTGTGTCCATGCCCATGTCCGTATCTATATCCAAATCTGTCTTCTATTCTGGCAGAAAGAACCATGAAACCTAGCTATGGAGCCCCCCCATCTATCTACGGTGATTACGAAGTGACTAGGTTATAAAGTTATACAGTTGTTGGAAGAACACAACCAATACAAACACAAGGCGGCTAATGTATGCGCAGTGCTGAAAATGGTGCCAACAGCTTCTAGAAGTTAAGCACTCCATTAGTATTCACTACTATTATTATCAATCAAAAACCTCTTATCCATCAGTTGTAGAGAGATACAGGGGTAAAAATTAATAACTCTGCTCTGGAGAAATACCACTAGACCCTTCTACTCAAAGCTCCCAGATGCAGCCACAGAAGCAGCACCGGGGAGCTTTGAGAAATGCAGAGCCTCCAACCTACTGCATTCGAATCTGCATTTTAACAAGGTCTCCAAAATCTGTGAGCACACTCAGGTGTGAGCAGCGCTACACTGGAGTTCTCCAAAGTGTGTAGAGAAGCCCTTAGGTCACTTATACTTTTGGTAGAAATGACACAAAAGCAGCACTGACTCAGAAAGTCTGTTCTGTCTTATGGATGGTTATTCAGCTCTAATCTGGACCACAGAAAGCAGGTTGTGGGCTGGACGGTAGTCAGAAGGCTGTCCCATCAGAGTCATACGCAACGGGTCCATCTGACGCCCTTTTGGAACAAGTCAAAGATCCTGTAACTGTCCTGGCGCATTTCAAGAGGAGGAAGAAACCCAAACACAATACTTTATAAAGGAGGTGACAGCATTAAAAAATCTGCAGATGATTTTTAAAAGGAGCAGTAGTAGTGAAGACAGGGAAGGGAGCCAGTCACTTACGTTAACCCAGGGATGCTCGAGGACCTGCACGGCGGAGAATCGCTGATCGACATCCACCAACAGCATCATGGTGATGAGCCCCTGTGGGGGGGAACATTAGATTCCATTTATGTAACTTTTAAGGTGAAAAGCTGGGCATTTACAAACGCAGGAGTTCTCTTTTACTTTGGAAAGGCATTTGTAAAAGCTCTAAATCTTAAATATATCAACTCCACTTACCTGTGGCTCCCTGAATAACACCTTCAAAAGTTAAAGGAAAGGTGAACATTTGGAATTATAAATATATAGCTTGTGGTTGATTGAAAAATCAAATTAATATTAAAGTCAATTTCATTAAAATGTTTTTAGTAGGAAAGGAACAAATTATACAAGTTAATTAATATTCCTTTTTTGTCTAGGATTGTGCACTTTTAAGACAGATTTCTTAATTAGTTTAACACCAAAGTCACATTTTTAAGATACTCTAATTTTCACTTTGTCAGCTGAAAGAAAAAAGTTTGTTTTTTTTTTTTTTTCCAAATTTCAAGACAGCATATATAGGTTTGAAAGAAAGGAATGAGGAAAGACATAGAATTGCCAACAAGTAGTTGGTAAAAGAGAGAGAACTATCCTTTAGTAGCCAAAGAATTCTAAGGAAATGTGTTAAAACTGCTTCAAAATTTTCCAGACTAATCAACACAAAGACAATAGAACTATTAAGAGGTAAATGATTTGATGATCCTGAAATTAGGAAACTTCCCCATGAGCTCAAACTGATTTGGACCAGGAAGGCACGGCTTTGGTCTCAATGATGTGTTTGCCGTACCTTTGTCCACTTTGGATCAGACGTTCCTGAGTAACAAAAAGGTTAGCTCTGCATCATCAAGTTCCTAGGCTTTAGTACCACTTGGGATGGGAGTGATTTATTTTCTCTGGTGTATCGAGTCCACTTTAGCTTTCTTCATTCATTTCCTAACTTGGACTGGGACTTATTAAAGCAACTACTGTGTGTGGTGCCCTGTGCCAGGCGCCGTGCAGGGGTGGGAGATGGTCCCGTCTGCCCGCAGCTGCAAGCCCTCAGGCAAGGAGTGATGGCACCAACAGCGGGACAGGTTCCAGAAGCGCCTGCCCACTGGCAAAAACACCTCCACCTTCACCCCTGCACCTGTATCATCCCCTCTCCTTGCACCTGCGCCTTTCCTCTGACACTTCCTTCAATTTCATACATTTCCCTACGTCCCGAGGCAGATTGACGGACAGCTGAAGAAAATGAGAGACTTGCGCCCAGTACACATCATTTTCTATGCAAAGTGGTCAAGTCTAAGGGGTCGGGTTTGAAATGGAACTCACGCTCGGGCAAGAGGAAAGACGGACACATTGAGCCGCCAAAAGATAATTACTTCTCAACATCACATTTTCAAAAATTTAAGTCAGCATTTGAAGGCATAATATAGATTTAAAAGACCGCAATTAAGAGGTTTTCCTGTTCTTTTTCAAGGTCTACTAATATCTCAATGTAAGATTCGTATAGTTTTCTTAGAGGTTGACCTATTCTGACCATTTTTTTAATGTGGTAAAATATACACAGAATTTACCACTTTAACGATTTTTAAGCGCACACAGTTCAGTGGCATTCAGTACATTCGCACCACTGTGCAATCATCACCACCATCCATCTTGGAGGTTGACTTCTTAGTTTAGTGGATAAAAACCATATGCCCCATTCCCCTTTGCCTCCAAATCCTGGCTGTCTTTCAAGGTTCAACTTAAATCATAGCGTCCCGTAAAATCTTTCTTGATCATTCCAATCTACGTTGAAATTAAGTGTTCTTCCGTTTGATCGACTGATTGATTCACTCATTGATATTTTATTTATTCATTTATTCAATATATATTGAGCACCAGTTAGGCACTGTCATAATTTAGGCACTGATGATACAGCAATGAACAAAACAGACAAAAATCCTTGTCTTCACAGAGTTTGCATTCTAGTGGGGACAGTCTGGAAATAAACTCTACAAATAAGACCTATCCACCTATCTGTATTTATCCGTTTCTCTAGAGAGGTAGATAGATATAGACAGGTAGTTAGATGGGATACCAGATGGACACAAGGGTGTTAGGTACCATAGAGAAACATAAAGGAGAGAAGGAGGATAAGGCAAGCCAGGTAGGGTTTAAGAGCTGCAATTGGAAAGAGGATGGCCTGGGAAGGCTTCGCCAAGAAGATGATATTAAGTCAAGACCTGAGGCAGGTGAAGCAATAAGCCCCACAGAAATCTGAGGTGGGCTCAGCTTGGCAAGGGTGGGCACAGCAAGACACAGCAGTGTCACTGGAGTGACGACAGAGGGAGGTGCGGCCAGTGAGGTGGAAGCACTTGTTGGGATGGCTATGAACAGATGACTTAAGACTGTGAGATCTTAGAAATTCTAGTAATGACAACTAAAATGTGTACAGAAATCCTTTTTATGATGGCATGAGACTCTTTGCACCCAATGATTTGGAATCACTAACTCTGTTAAGTCACACAGGCTATAAGGAAGAGGAAGGCACTGAAAACCTACCTTTGCAGAATCAGAAACATTATCCCAATACGGAGAAGGAAAGTCCACTTGCCCCATCAAAATCTGATCAAAAAGCACCTCCTGGTCATCGCCGCTTCTATTTAGGTGAACAACAAGGAAAACACAGCACTAAGATGTCAACTCAGTGTATTTCTCTTCATTCTTATGCACTGGGGCCCCTCCTTTCCCCATACATGTGTAAAATGTGTGTTTTTAAGCAATTGAAAATGTCAATATGGAACCATTTTGGTAAATTAAGAAGGAATGAGTTTTTAAACTATATGAGGAAAATTTATGGGAGGCATATAAATGAGCATGCACAACATGGAAAAAAATAACAGGGCTTGCAAGTAAAGTTCTTATGTTCTTTTCCCGCTTCAGGCTCCTTTGTGCAAGAAGGGAGGACGGATCATTCAGAGAAAAGAGAAATGCTTTGTTGGCACTGAATAGAGGGTTGCTGCTCGTACCCACGGAATGGAGGGAAGCCACACAGCAGGATGTAAGTGATCACACCAGCTGCCCAGATGTCCACCTTGAGGCCATATCTGGAAAAATAAGTGATGTTACAGTTAGCAAAGTCAGCCCAGGACAAATTACAGGGCGTGGTAATATTGATGATTCTTCTATTCCAAACAAACAATAAAACCAAACAAAATAAAAAACCTAAGGACAAACACTAAACTAAAACCCACAGGCTAAACAGAGTTTGAGAAAAGAATAAAAAAATAATAACCATTTTTAAAAAGACTAAGGCACATGAATAAAAATCAAAGTAAAGCATGCCTGGGCTTGTATGCAAATATCTGTAAAAGGTTTCAGCAAAAAGGTTTATTATTTGAGATAGGGGAGAACCCTTGAGATGATCTAACTCCCTAATTTTGGGAATAATAATTACTTAGAGAACATTCTCCAATTTATAAAGCATTGCCATACATTGTTTTATTTTTCCAACAACTCTGCAGGTTGGACGGGACAAGCATTGCCTACCTATTTTACAAAAGAGAAAACTGAGGTTGAGAGGAATAATTTTGCTCAAGATCACATAACCAGTCAGTGGCAGAGCTGGGCTCCAGCCGAGGTCTTTAGGAAACCACCAAATCCTCTTTCTGCCCTACACCACTCCCTCCCAGCCCTGTCACAGGATGTCCCAGTAGAAAGCATGGCTGTGGCAAGGCAGCGCCGTCTGAGGGAGGTTAGGCAAGTCTACAGAGGTGGGCTCCCAACTCACTCCAATTTTGAAGAATAGAAAAGTCCCCATTCCCTCTCATCTCACTTGGGGATTTCCCTAGTGGGATTCTGTTCTCATGTGTTCTGTATTCCTGCCCTTGTGGTCTACGGGACAAGCAACAAAACTCTCGCTACTGAGTCACGGGGATGGTGCCACCTAGATCCCCAGGTGTGGGCTGAAACTGCTAATGAGAAGCAAAAGAAGAGCTGCGTCCCCTGGCCACCCTGCCCTCCCCATGCCTTCTGCTTGGGGACAGCACCTCAGAGCCCTACCTATGGCTCTTTGAGAAACAGGGCTCTTTACTCAAAGAGCCATTGACTCAGGCTGACCTGAGTTCAAACCTTGACTCAGCCACTAATTAGCCATGCGCTGACATGGTACTTAAATGACCAGAGTCTCAGTTTATTCAAGTGAAAAATGGGAATAGTACCATCTACTGGAGAAAGAAGTACATAAATGAGTTTAAGGGCTGGCATACAGCAGGTGCTCAGTGAGGAAGAGGCTACCCCGCCTTCTCCCTGCTTCCCAGGGTGGAGATTTTCATTCATCTGATTCTGTGCACAAAACCCAGCAAATTCCCAATGGCCCTCTGATGCCTAAGCGTGTTTACACCCCACAGAAAACGGACAGGTCCCCAAGAGGGACAAGAGGAGACTGGGACTGGAGGAAGAGGGCGGCTGAGAGAAATAACCACAGTAGACTGTAATCATTGTACACAGTGGTGTCTGTTTCTTTTATCTCCAAATGTGAGTTAATTACCATCGTTGTGTGTTTCTGTTAGTCCGAACATTTTCTACTCTGAGGTTAATAACTTCCGTTCTATCTTTAATAAAGGCCAAATGGAAGTCTTA